GCAGGAACGCTCTCTCATAATTCCTTTGCATCTAGTCTCAGCAGGAGAAGATTGACAGCATTGCAGACCATGTCAACAGTGCTGCTGTGAATGTTGAAGAGGGAACCAAAAACTTGGGGAAGGTAAGATTCTGCCCCTGCTGACAAATCAATGGTACTCTGGCTCCTAGGAATCTCTAGTATTAACCCAATTGATCTGTTCTCTTCAATGTTGAAGGAACCAGCAATTAAGGAAATAAGGAATAAATGACACATAGGTAGTGCAAGAAATCAATGGTTGTAATATTCTACTCTAAGATTCATCCTATCAGGAGAGAAATTTTTTCAAAGAGAATAAAGTCTAAATAAAGAATTAATGCCACTATAAAGCATTAATGTTACGAGAGAATACAGAGGTTTAGGGAGAGGAATGGAGAAGGTCACAAGAATCCATTTGAGGTAAAAGTATAAGGACATGACAGCACACATGGAGTGGGACCATCTATTTTCCATAGGATGTTGCTTTTAACCCCAGGCCCATAGCACGGAATAATCTTATGCAACATAAAAGCTTTGGGGGGGGGGTGGAGGTGGAGGAATCTGTGGCTGCAGAAACTGTTTAAATAAGCCAGGTAGATGGTAAGTGGATTGATTGTTTTGCAAGTAAAATCAATTTGTTGTAGTCTACTCTTTGTAGTTCATTTTTCTAAGTTCCAAGATCTGGAGCAATTGTAGTACCTGTGGAATACTTCCCCCCCCCCTATAAATACAATCTCTAGGGTTAATTATGTACCAAGAGTTAAAGAGGCATTGCCAGGAGTAATGAGAGGAAAATGCACATCACCACAGGCAGATATTCTCAACTCAATTTCTAAATTGAATTTTTTTTTTTTTTTACAGGCTGCAAAATGCAAGCTGGCAGCTCTGCCTGTGGCAGGTGCACTCTTTGGAGGAGTGGTAGGGGGTCCGATTGGCCTCCTTGCAGGCCTCAAAGTGGCAGGAATTGCAGCTGCACTTGGTGGTGGGGTGTTGGGCTACACAGGTGGAAAATTGATACAAAGAAAGAAACAAAAAATGATGGAGAAGCTCACTTCCAGCTGTCCAGATCTTCCCAGCCAAACTGACAAAAAATGCAGCTAAAACCAAACTTCAATATTATTGGCGCCAACATGTCTATCCTAATGAGGACTTCTGCTGCTGTTGGACACTTAGCTTTTGGAACACAAGTGTATCGAGATGGTGATATAGATGTTCAAGTGGGATTGAACTGTGATAAGTGGATATATTTTGTTGTTTGCTAGAGTGTTAATGGAGATGTCAGAGATTGCAGAGCCTGGGCTGTGGGCGTCTATCTTTCAGGTAAAGTTTAAAGACTGCCGAAGAGCAAACTTTCTGCCTGGAAATGTTGAAAACAGCCTATAACTCTGATAAGAACTTGTAGAAATGTTGGGTTATGGAAGAATAGATTATTTCTTATCCCTGAATTAGAGAGCTTGAGTTTAAGTGTATTTTTAGATTATTTAGGCCTATTAGTAGGGAAAAGAATGGAAGTTTTGGAACCTTCCTTACTGGAGAGAGAAATTGGGACTTAGTGAAGCACACATAATGCCACATAATGGAGACCATATTTAGTGAACCCTATTGCAGTCTGATTCAACTGTATTTTCCAGAGAAGGGCATTAATAATGTGAGAAAATAGAAAGAAGAACAGCTTCAAATATCTTCACTCCTGACACTGGCTTCTTTTCTGAACTCTTCTCTACCTCTCTTTAAATAAACAACACAATTTCAAGTGGTAGGAGACTTATTAAGCCACTCACAAGCTCACTGTCAGCCTGTCTCCTAACACCTCAAACATGTAGTGTCCATTGCCTTCTCTCCTTTATAATTTTGAAAAGTTCTTGAGCTTGGGGGGGTGGTGAATTCTACCCATGTGTAATGACTTTTCTCATAATCTGCTTTTTTGTATTGTCTCCCACTTCTGTTCACTCGTTCCTATAACCTCTAGGTAAAAAATAATAATAATTAAAAAAAAAAGCAAGGAAGGAAAAGAAAATTCCAAGTATTGCCAACATTGTTAGTCTTCAGGCTAAAACAAAACCATTTCCTAGAGCATCAACCAATTTCAAAGAGCTGATGTGTCTGCCACACAGAGGTCTCTGACCCTGCCTGAGTTGTCTTTTCAGCTAGCCTTTGGGAGAGCTAAGAACTAGCTTTCTCCCTCGCTTCTGTTACTTTTATCTTTCCCCTCAGGTTTTGTTATCTCCTATACTTTCCTTCACTTTTCTCAGCTGCTATTTCTTCCCAGGAGTGCCATTCATGCTTACTTTTTTATCACATTCTAGATGATGGGCGAAGCTCAGTGCCGAGACTCAGGCCCAATGACAGACTTCTGGTGCTAACCCCAACACTTGACATTGACAGCAAGCATGGTCCAGCCCAACCCCATGCCCATATCGAATGGCAAAAAGGTTTTACATTTAAAAAAAAAAAAGAACCAAAATTATAGACAGCCTCACTCTGTATCCCCAACTACCTTTTGCCTTACTCTACTCTTTTCTGAGGACAGGAATTGGCACCTGTACCCCAGAAGGTGTGAGCTGTTTCTGCCCAGGAACCAAAGGTCATCAGGGGGTTGAATGTTTTTTCTCTTGCTCACTGTACTTTTAATAACTTGTATTGATTGCTACCTTTCTTCTGTGTCTAATCGAGATCTTTCTCTTCAATACTTTTTGAATCCCATCAATGAATTCCAATGAAACAAAGCACCACTTTAAAAATTATTATTAAATAACTGAAAGTATCTGCTGACTTACATCTTTAATATAATAACAAGAAGTAAATACTTTGAATAGTGTCAGATTCTGATCCAGTATCTGATACTCGATACCAGTAAGGTTGGGATAATTACTTAAACTCTACATTTAATTATCTTATCTAGTCCTTGTTGTCCCTTTAACACTATGTTCTAACCTGAATGAGGATCAGAACTCACCCAGTACTTATTTAAAACAAAATTCCTAGACTTCAGACACAGGAGTGTTTTGATTTAGCTAGTCCTTTGTAGTCATCTGAAATTATAAATTTAAGATATATCAAGATTCAGCTGTATCATAAAATTCTATAATTTCCAGTATTCTATGCCTCAGATTACCTATAGTCTACTCACCATCACTGCATATTACCTCACTCTGCCCATCTAAAATTAGCTCTGCTTTCAGCCCACCATTTTAGCAACAGCACTAAGGATTCATTATAATGTCAGGCTGGTTTATGTAAGGACCTGAAAGAGAGGAGGCCTGAAGATGAGAGTTCCATCTTGGTTTCGTATTTCCCATTTTTACTGAGCCAGTGTGGGACACCACTTTATGTACTTATATAAGCCTTTAACTTTTGCTGCGTATCAGACCTGGAATGTCTAGAGGTCTTCACACTTAGGTATGTTGTAGTTCTTTGTAAGCACTTTATAATTTAAAATGAATTGTTTATTATAATTAATTAATTAAAACTGAAAAATTATTGTATCTCATTTTCCCATAAAACCCTAATAGCCAACTTTTTGTTGAAATTGCTAGAAATATTTTATCAACTATATAAAGTGTTTGTAAGTATAAATTAGGCAATATGACACGAAGGCCAATCTTAAAGTTCAATTTAATGTCCTACAGCATCAGATTAAATTTATCTTCTCTATGATTTACATCTTATTTTTACTGCAACAAGTTAGAAGGTAAGGAACACTTTGATTAAGATCTTAAAATTTATAGGGGCTCATTTGGATACAGGCAGCACTCCTAAGGACTTTTTAAATATAAGAATCTGAGAGTTTCTTTTTTTTATTGTAAAAGAGATTTTTGCTATAGCTCATGTGCGCTCACTGGGGAGACAGAGAGATAGATAGACATCAAGAAATCACCCCATCCCCCGGGGGGATGGCCACACCATAATACCTTCTCCTCCAATCTCCTGTCAGAATTTTGCACATGCATACACACACACACCTGGTGTGAGTTTCAAGCTGCCAGATCTGGGACTCAAACCATTGTTGGCCATGTGGGAATCCATTGATGTAACCATTATGCCATCTGCTGGTCCCCTGAGAATTTCTTGATTAAAAAAAAGAAAAAAGGGGGGACCAGCAGTTAGCGTAATGGCTATGTCCCTGGCCGCCCATGTAGTCAACCGCGGTTCGCGTCCTGGACCTGGTGGCTTGAGACTCACGCTGGGTGCGTGTGCGTGCGTGCCCAAGATCCCGAGAGGAGAATGGAGGAGAAGGGATTGCAGCGTGGCCATCCCCCTGGGGGCTGATTTCTCGCTTTCTGTCTCTATGTCTCTGTCTGTCTGGCGAGCGCACATGCCCTATAGCGAAAACCTCTCAAAAAAAAAAAAAAAAAGAATGTCTTGATACAGCAGACACTTTGAAACTTTTTGGCTGTAACCCACTGAAAGAATGCATTTATATTGAAACTCAAATATGCATAATGAAACAGTGCTTACAATATTATGTAGTACATTCTGACGTCATTTCAGTTTTTTGTTTTTGTTTTTTCTAAGAGATCTTTGCTATAGGCACATGCATTCACTTGAGAGACAGAAAACGAGAAATCCCGCCCCCCCCTTCCCCGGTGATGGCCCTGCCACAGTCCCTTCTCCTCCATTCTCTTGGGATTATGGAACACATGCACACGCACATGGTGTGTTTCAAGCCACAGGTCCAGGACCCAAACTGCAGGCAGACACGTGAGAGTCCAGCGCCTTAACCACTATACCACCTGCTGGCCCCTGTCATTTCAGTTTTTAAAATATGCAAATTGCAACCCACTAAACTGATTTAATAATCTGCTAATGAGTTGCAACCATTAGTTTGAAAATAACATCCTTATAGAGGAACTGGTATTAACTGACTATCTTCTGTTTGTCAGGCACTTCAGTAGGCATTTAAGTTAAGGAAATAGAGCCTCAGAAGAATTAAATACTTTGTAAAGGGTTACTGAGCCATAAAGGGGTGAAGCCAGGATAATAATTGTTGAATTATAAAAACTGCTCTATTTCTCCCATGTTATACTGCCCCTCTCTATAGACTTAAGGTGGGTCATCCATTCTCCTTACCCACAGACCCATGTATCTGTAAGAGAGGCCTTGAAATTACCCATTCTATTCATGTCATTTCAAGCACTTTTAAGATTCTGATTTCTCACCTAATGTACAGGAGTGTCAGAGTGTTTTTTAAAAAAATTTAAACTTGGGACCAGCAGTTAGCATAATGGCTATGTCGCTGGACTCCCACGTAGTCAACCGCGGTTCGCTTCCTGGACCCGGTGGCTTAAAACTCACGCCGGGCACGTGTGCATGCGTGCCAAGATCCCGAGAGGAGAATGGAAGAAAAGGGATTGCGGCATGGCCATCCCTCCGGGGGGCGGGGGCGGGGGGTGATTTCTTGCTTTCTGTCTGTCTCTGTCTGGCGAGCACACGTGCCCTATAGCCAAAACCTCTCCAAAAAAAAAATTTTAAACTTTCATTTATCCATTTACTTACTTATTTATTTTAATTTGACCAGAGAAGGGGAGAGAGAAAGAGAGAAAGTGAGAAAGCAAGCCACCAGATGCGGGACTCGAACTGTGGTCAGCCATGTGGGAGTCCAGTGCCCTGGAGCCCTTAACCATCACTCCACGTGCTGACCCCCAGCTTCAGAGTTTTTAATGGTGGCTAATGCAGAAGTACATAGTGCTGAATTTGGTCCTTACATTATAAAAGTGTTTCCATCTCACCCACACATCCTACAAATTTTCTTATATTCATGGGTTATAACCACTGTTTAAATAGTGCTTTTATATAATTTAAAACTAAACTTTAATGCTTTTTAAAACAAATCTAGAATTTATTGAATCAAATGGTTATAATCCTTTACAGTAATACCATTTAAAAACTATGTACTTACTGTAGTGATGCTAGTAACACTTATTTTTGAAACTTTTCTTTCGGAATTGCCTCCAAAGACATTTGGAAGCTATTAAGAAAACCATCTTCATTTTTATTAATCACAGATTGTACTACCTTGACTTTATGACCTTTCCTCTCAACCTTGCAAGGAAGAGAGGGTATGTTGGTGCTGCTCAGTAATGGCTAGAATTCCTGAAACCAGGACTTTGAAGTTATACTGAAAATGAAGCTGCAAAGGGAGAATCTGATGAGCTCAGACACCTTCCTCTCAGGGCTGCCTGCCTGCCCTAAAGTGCTGTAAGTTGTTTGTAGAAGAGTAAAAATTAAATACTGGTAATGCTAGTCACAAGAAGTTAAAGAAAACTAATATAAATATATGGTGTATATTGTTTTTATTCATGAAAGTATAGGAACCAAATCATGGTGTGCTAACTTTAAGAACAAAAGGTGTTTCTTGGGGTCCCCTTTACCCTTTCATTGCTGCCACATGCAGACTGTGGGAGAAAGGATGAAGAGAAGCCTGGAGAAAAGGTTCTTCTGTGATATGGGGTGTTTCTTGTCATAAAGTACAATAGACTGTGGCTGTGGCTCTCAGGTACTTAAAAATGTTCTTACATAGCCAGAGACATAATCAAAGGTAGGGAAACTTCCCCTCTAGCCTAAATTAGTACAAACAGTTTATGTCCTGGTTGTGTTTTTTTGTTAAGTTTTTGCCATAGGCCGCATGCAGGAAAGAGATGGGGAAAGTAAGAAATCATCCCCTGAGGAGACAATCCCTTCTCCTCCTGGGATTTTGAGACCACACACACACGCCCAGTGTGATTTTTAAGCCGTGAAGTCTGGAACTCGAACCGTGGTCGACCATGTGAGAGTTCAGTACTTTAACCACCATGCCACCTGCTGACCCAACACTTTTATTTCCAACAGGTGTTTCTCACTTCTTATGTTCATTAATTTGATACCTTTATAAACAGAAAATGCTTGGGTATTATAAACAATCAGTGGTTAAAGATTTCACAATATCTACATTGTACCCTCAAAGAAATCATTTTGTGAAAGACAAATAGAAGAAGTAAATTGAAATAAAAACATAAAACATGTCAAAATTAAATGACATGCTCAAGATCACAAAGCATAAGAACTAGTAGTAAAATCATGGTCTAAGAAAAATAAACACTCAAAGTAACTTAGCTGAGTTTTTGTTATGTCTTATCAAGTCTGCTGAGGCATGTGGTCTTCTAGTCCAGCTTGAACATTCCAAATCAGGCAATAGCTATAACAGAAAGAGAACTGCATGGGGAATCTTGAGATCACAGTTCGAGTTTTGGTTTTCTCTTGCAGTGCACTTTCTTATCAGGGATGGCTGTCTTCTCCCATTCAGCCAGGGATACCCTGATCTTAGTGGTCACTGATCTTGACTCCCTCCATTCTTTATATCTACCCTGGTCCTGCCAATTCTATTTTAAATGTTAGTTGCATCTATTCTGTATAGATTCATGGCCATCGCTCCTGTAAAACATTACCTCGCACCTACTTTTTCTTCTCCAACTTTAACCTACTCAATTCTCCTATCACTGCCACAAGTGAAAACCAAGTTCATCTTTTAGTTTTCTGCTGAAAAATCTCAGTGGCACCCACTGAATACTGAATAAAGTTCAGATCCCTTAGATTCTGAATACAGCCTTTCAAAACCTGGCCTAAGCTTCATTTTCTTCAGACTCATTACACATCATCTGACAATGCCACTAAAAAAAATCAGACATGCCACAAGAATAATTTCTAAAGTTTTTCTATGGTGAAGGTACAAAGCAGTAATAAACTATTTACTTTTTTTGGCATAAAATAATTTCTGTAATAGTTCATTTTACAAACTAGTCAGCTGAGACATCTCTTGAACAAGCCTAAAATTTATTTCCTAAAGAAAAATATTTTCTCCTGGAAGAGATTACTTTTTTTTTTTTTTGCAAAGAGTGAATGCATACACTTGCTGGAGAGAGACAGAGGGAAAGTGAGAAATCACCCCTTGAGGGTATGGCCATGCTGTAATCCCTTCTCCATTTTCTTCCTGGGATTTTGGGCATGCACCCACGGTAATTTTCAAGCCACCAGGTCTCAAACTGTGGTCTGCCATGTGGGAATTTAGTGCATTAACCACCATACCACCTGCTGGCTCCAGAGATTAGGTTAAATTTCTTAACCTTCAAAATAATGTAATTTTGTCACCTGTGCATCTGATAGTCGAAGCATGAGGATTCTTCAACAGTATACTCTAGCCTTCTAGCCTTGAATTGATCATTGTCCGGCTTGTGAAAAGCTTCACTAATACATATTTAAGGGAGACATTCAACAGCACATGTTTTCCATACACTTCTCAAGAATTTGAGGCTTCAAAAATTAATCACTAAAAAAAAGGTTTAGTTGGTCTTTATTAATTAAGCCCCTTAAAGATATTTTCTATTTTATTATTTAAACCCTTGGTGTTAGCAAGGGCACAAGAAAAAACTTGAGAATTTTTGTAAAACCTACTGAATTTGTGTCTCATTTATTATGTTGCTCAGTGGTGCTTGACTAAGGAAACA